TCCACTGGAACAACAAACACTTCAATTCATTAGCTCATGATAACTAAGAGTTATTTATAAGAAATGGATGATCAATTTTTTCTTTCAAAATTTATAATTAATGTTAGCTTGATTTTAAAACTTTTGTTTTTATACAGATTTGTAAAATAAATGAAAATGAGATTCATTTTGATAAAAAAAAAATCATAAATTGGAATAACGAAAGCTAAGCAGCTCATGGACCACGTTGTAAAAGATCTATTCTTCATAGGACATCCATTACTATTAGAGAGTAGTAGGATATGTTACATTACGATTGACAATCCTATTAAGATGAACAATTTTCACTAAAATTCTATATCATTTTGTTCAGTTTTTTGTACTTGTTCAGATGAGATATCTGTAAATGAAATTGAAATCGTAATCTTTCCTTTGCGAACAAACTAACATTTCATCAATAGGACCTCTGGTTTTTATAAAGTAACTTTTACCGAAATATAATCCAATAAACACTACATTGAACAATGTATAGAAGAATTGTCAAATCCTTAATTGACACCACAAAAATTGATGAGATATTAAAAGTGTCCCAAACCATTGTTTACTGAAGTCAAACGATTTCCATGCAAAATATTCAAATAACTAAATTCATGACAATATTCATATGTCAACGTGATAGCTGATCATGAAAATTATAGAAGTCTCTATTTGAATACTTCAAGCAATTCATTTTCGATAGAATAATTGAGAAAATGAAAGTTGTTTTGAACTTGTTTTGAACCACTTAAAATTTGATTTTCTTTTTTCCTTTACCTAAGGAACAATTAGAATAAAACTCAATATTGATTACAGTAATAACTTGGTATTAGATCATGATAAGATAGTGCATGTTTAGTCGCTATCAATAAACTATTTTCTGATTACAATGGTGATAAAAACATTGCAGCTACTACTTTTGTTTGATAAGCACTCTTAAGATGATTCAATGGTTAAGTATTCTCTCGTCATCAGCTGTCATCTATTTTGTATACATAATTTGTTAGTGTTGATCTTCTCCTTTTTGTTTATGTCAATACCCGACGAGATAGTTGTTGTGCATCATCGTACAGAAGTTTTTTTTATTTCGCATGCGACTTATCTCGAGTAATAGTTTTTGGATGTATGACCTTTCTTGCTATAATATGATAGATTGATTGACTATATACATCATGTGGAATTATTATAGTTTTTAGATATTTACGGCTTGAAAAGATTTTGGCTATAGATATGGTCTTATTTGTACAATAAAATAATAAGCGTTATTCTTTTAATTACTAAAATTGTATTTTAATTTGTATTAAAGAAACTGAAATATTTTTGAAAAAGTTCAAGTCGTAGTGGAAACAAAAATGAAACATTTAGTACAGATATTTTACAAAAAACAAAGCACTTCTTGAGGAAAATATATGCGAGTTTTTGACGATAGAAAGTGTAAGAAGCTGATTACTAAGTAGAACAGAAAAACGCCACGTAAAAGGCAGCCGTTTGTGATATACATTAGAACAAAAATATTGACCTTTCTATGTCCTTTTTGTATTGCTTAGTTAGATAGGCATTACGTAGGCAAGTACTCTTTATTTTCTTTCGCTTTTCTCTATAAGAAACAATCAAGTATGAATTAACTACATCAGTTGAGTAGCAAATGGAAGAAGAAAAAGAAAAAGACCTAAGAACGCGAAAGAAAAAGATTGGTTGATACTATTACTATCTGGAGATATGGACAAAAGATTAACTTGTGCTAGAGGACCATGATACATCCTTTGCCTTAGTTGCAGTAACAAGCGATAGTTTTTCTTTCTTCTGGACGATCCACAAGATTCGATGTTCTATAAAAGTGTTGGTAGATAAAAAGAAAGAAAGAAAGAAAGAAAGAAAGAAAGAAAGAAGAAAAGAAAAGAAAAAAGAAAGATCGCATCGGATGTATTGGCATTCACATAAAACCGGATACGCACGTTTATACACACGCCTATCGAATGTTGCTCTTACTAACGAATATCTATCATCGCCAATCTGGGTTCGCCACAATCGAAAATATCATCACCCATTTATCCTTCAACATCTCCTCACCAAAATCCAAGTTCAGCAATTGGTCTTTCAAATTCTCCTTATGATGTTGCTTTGTCTACTACTAATTTTCCAATACAGTTCTCACTTGAACCTTCTATTGACAATCGTATAATTAATTTTGAACAACAATTCGATATGCATTATGTTCCAATAAATCGAGGGCAAGAGCAATCTCCTTCGTCTCCTGCTCCATTTCATAATTCTAGTACATTGTATATCAATCAAGAAAGACCTGTTTTACATTTACCTCGACCTAGGTTTAATGTAACAGTCAACGGTCGTGTTCATCCTCATTCTCATCACCATCAACAACATCCACACAGAACACATGACTTTTCGCGAATTACTATTCGAACACCAAATATACGTCTACCTCGTAATCGAATACCATTTAGTCCTGTTATCTCAACAGGTCATATTGATGGCAATATTTTGTCTGGTGTGAATGATGTACAACGAAAATTAGCTGCACTTACATTACGTTTAGAACAAGAACTTGAAGCTGAAGCAACAGTTGGTGAATATTACGGACAATGTACTAAGTGTGGTCAATCTGTGACTGGTTCATCTGAAGCTTGTCAAGCTATGGGTGAACTCTATCATAATGATTGTTTTAAATGTGTCGTATGTTCTCGAACATTACGAGGAAAAGCATTCTATCGTGTACATGATCAAGTCTATTGCGAAGAAGATTATTTGGTAAGAAATATATATGAATTACCAAGAGCAATTACTTCGACATTTAGTCGTAATAATATTTTGAAATAATTCTTGTATTTTATTGTATTAGTTTACTGGCTTTCAACAAACAGTAGAAAAATGCCGCATTTGTGATCATCTTATCATGGACAAGGTATTTTATATTTGTTAGAAAATATTTTTAGTTAATAAAGTTTCTTTCTTTCATTAAAGATGCTCCAAGCTCTTGGTAATAGTTATCATCCAGGATGTTTTCGTTGCTCAGTCTGCAATGAATGTCTTGACGGTCTTCCATTTACTGTCGATAAGGAACGACGTTTGTTTTGTTTATACGATTACCACAAGTGAGATATTTCTTTTTCGTCAACATTCTTGCCCTTATGACCCTATATTTCAGTACCTATGCTCCACGATGTGCTAAATGTGCTTATCCAATTTGTCCCGAAGAAGTAAGGAAATAAGCAGATTTATAAAAAGGAAAACTTTTTTGTCCTTATATTGAACAGGGTTCGGATGAAACAACTCGTGTGATTGCTATGAATAAAAATTTTCATGTTGAATGTTATCGATGCGAAGTAATGAATAATTTAGATTTTTGAATTATTTTAACATTAATTATTTCTGTAGGATTGCCAATGTAAGTTAAGTGATGAAAAAACAATAGCTGTATTGGGTGGTTGTTGTCCACTAGCAGATGGTACATTATTATGTTATCGATGTCATATGTGTCGTAATACTAACGATAACTAAATTATTATTGCATATGAAATGCGAAAAAATTGTTAACTTTCGGGATATTTTTTTATTATTCGATAAAAGAGAAAAAAATAAAAAAAAAAAAATTTTTAAAGAAAATTTGTGGTATAAATTTTTTTCTATTAACGAAATCAAGTATGACCTCGTTCTCCATATTTGAAACATGATTTCTAAATCTGCACCGGAATTATTGTCTAAACTTTCTAATATTCTGATTTCTTCGTTGAACTATATATTAATAATGAAAAAGAAAGAAAAACATGTGAGCACAGCTAAATCATTATTTAAGAAGCATCTTAATGAAACTGTCAAAATGAACCGTAGTCAATCATTACTCAACTTGAGAATTATTAACGCTTATCGCTGAAAGATACTCAATTAGTTTATTACATAAACAATTAATCTTACTTTTTCTTAAATTACAACTGTAATTAGTTTGATTATTCTTTTTTTCCTGTTAAAACATCAAGAATATTATAAACACCATATCATTATTGTTTGACGACAGAAATGAGAATTTTTGTCATTAATTGGATAACCAACGATGGAACCTCTCGATGTGTTAAATTGCTTTTCGACCGAGGTGATGGTCATTAGATAAGTACTAGTGAACAGTTGGAAAGTCTTGAATGGTTTTATTTTTCAAATCATCGTTCCTCAGATATCGAAATTTTTTTTTAGTGGATTTTTCAACAAAAAGCGGTGATCACATGAAAAATCGATTTTTGAGTTTCAACCTCAAACTTTTGTACGAACAAAGTTCGTAATGATATTAGTTCATTAGGCAAAATGTAACTTTTATAATGTCTCCTCTTCTAAGATGTGGAATATTTAAAATTTTCTCATGTATAAAAACAAGCTTTGGTCATGTATCTACATTTTCGCAAAAAATAAAAACTAGGAAATCTGAAACTGACACACTCAATTAATCTCATGAAGAACTTTGTTCATGCAAAATTTGAAATCAAAACTTGAACGTCGTTTTTTCATGTGAACACAACTTTTTTTTTTGAGAATGGCAATAAAGTTTCGACATTTCAAGAGCGAAAATCCAAAAAAGATAATGATTATAGACTTCTTTACTACTCTCTAACACTCATCAAATGAGCATCATCTCGATCGAAAAGTGATTTGATATCAGAAGAGGTTCCTTCATAAATTTGAGAAAATAGTTTGATCCTCTTTCACAGTTGTAACAAAAAAAATCTTCATAGAAACTATATAACAAATACTAATTAGTTTGCGTTTATTGAATAATCATAATCATTTGTTCAATAACGAAAAATTTATTAATTAAAATTCATTTCTTTATTCGACAGAAATCAACATAAAAATAAGTGTAAAAATTAATTGAGCATACAATCTTATATCTTCTACGAATAGCTTGAATATAATATTATGCTAGATTATCAACAAAGACATTTTCTCTTGATAATCCTTATCACAAGCAGAATAAGTGAAAACAAAAGAAAAGACTTCGAGTGGAGTCATAAACACGTGCACATATACTTATATACATATAACAAGAAAAAAAACATGAGATAGAAAAACCGGTATAAATTGTTGCATTCTTGTGCTGTAAGCATTGAAATGAAAGAAGATGAATCATATTCCCGAATTAAAACAAAGACATTATATGCACATTCGGTTCGCACAATTTAACTGACTGTTACTTCTTTTGTTACGTTTAAAATTACTTCGATTGAGAATAGGATTGATGAACAATAATCTCTCTAGGTGGTTCTATATTGAATGGTGATAATAATTCACATAATTCTTTGTTGTTTATTAATAATTGAATAAATTCCTTTGACGTTATTTTTATATTATCAAAATCTTTGCCTCCATTAAGATGTTCAAGGGATGTTTTTAATTCGTCAATAATACGTGCCGTATTTGCTACATCATCTTTTGCACGAAGTCTCATCACAATCTATTTTGCAAAAAAAAAAAACAAAAATCAACTAGTTCTAAAAGTGAAAATATCAATGACATACTTTAACCATTCGATCAATTTCTTTTTTATTAATAACACCATCTTTATCATGATCATATGTTCGAAAGACATATTTGAGCTTTTCACGAGCACTACCCGTAGATGTTAAAGCAAAACCAATTAAAAATTCACGTTGATCTATTTAAAAACGTTATCAGTTCTTCGAAAAAAACAAACAACTATAGTTTTTTAGTCTCAAATTCAGGTTGAACAATAGTTTATTAAAACCATTTTTTCTCAAACGAATACTTATTACTTGACGGCCATACTTGAATGTTTGCTAGAGAATACTAGACACTATATAATAATCTAATATTACTAAAAGTTCATGAAATTGGATTTAGAAAAAGGTTGAATGAAAACATGTATGAAAAAACAAACAAGTCACATAAGACTTTTAGATTTATATATTTGCTATAAATGACAGATATTTATATTTAATAAAAGTTATACAATATAATCATTTTTTTCAATATTGATATCAACATCTTCATCTTTCTCTTCTTTTGCCTACTTTCCTATAATTTTTTATATGATTTATAGATTTGTTTGACAAAGAATTATCATTAATTAGCTACTTCAGCATCTATGAATGCGTATACTTCTTCTGACTGTTATTCCATGTGATAATTATCACGGTCAACAGTATCGCTAGTGAATATTCAGTTTTTAAATCAATCTTCCGAATAAGAACAGTGAATTAAATCGCTTTTGACAAACGATAGCTACTGTGCAAAAGCAAATTTTCAAACAAGAACAATATAATAAATATGTTAAAAGGTTATAAGAATATTAAGATACGACAAGTGTCACGGATGCATGAAATCAATCATCACTTCTATTTGTTAATAGCTTTTGCCTTTTTAAATAGGGTTATTTGTAGCGAGTCGTGATAATGACCTTAGCCATACTATATAATAAATATCTTTTATTGCATACAGAACACAGAAAAGAGCAAACAACATAAAATCTAAAAGAAACTTCAAAATTTCAATCTAAGTTTATGATCAATAGACTGTAGTGAAAAATTAAACCTACCAACAATGCCATCATTATTAGTATCAAATGCTTTATGAATATCTGTTGCTAGTTTTAGAATTTGTTCTTCTTTACCACTATTTATACTTCGTAAGAAATTTACTGTATCTGATTTAGAAATTTTTCCATTTGGACAAGCAGCCTGAGAGAAAAAAAATAGATCCAAATATACTCTCCGAAATGTATAAAACTAACCTTAAGTTTTTCATACCAAATTTTCACATTTTCATGATCAATATTAGCCTTAGTTGAAATAAATTCAATATCGTCTACACTCAATTCAGCTGGTGATTGTGATGTATTTGAACCCATGTTTAATATTCTCCTCCGAAATGAAAGTTTTTTAACAATGAAAAATTTCGAAACAAAAAAATAAAACAATAAATAAAAATTAATAAATAGATTAAAAACGATCTGTAAATACAAAATAAAAATATTTCTTATTAAATAATTTTGAAATTTATTACACAAAAAAATTTGTATTTGTATAAAACAAAACAATAAGTTTACAAAAAAAAATAGAAAAATATCTTGGTTATAAAAGACAAACAAATAATCACACATATATTACTGTTCTCTCCAATTTCCTGTTTTTGGATTATAAAAAAGATGTACTTCTTTTGATGAATTCGTAAATGGAATTTTAATTGTATATACTGGTTCATTGTAATGTCCTTGCCAATGTAATTCAACATAAACATCCATTTGATTATTTGGATTATTAATTTTTATTTTATGTTCAATTGGTTCAACATCTTTAATTGTTTTCGAATCATATTTTGATTCAGTTCCTTCTCGTACTAATATTCTTATTGTTGAAAAAAGTGAATAAGCTATATCTTGATTAAGATCAAGACCCATTATTGATAAAGTTTGATTTTGAATTGTAATATGTATTCGTCGATGAAGTTCCCATTCTGGTATAGGAATATCTAATTTAGCCATTAATCCTCGCATTAAATTGTCACACAATGCATGAATATTTAATTTAGCTAAATTTGATAATGGAGTTAATTGTAAATTTCCAATAATTAATTTTCCACCATGTTCACCAACTCGTGCTGGAATATCAGCTGCTGGAGTTACACGTAATGATGAACCTAAGACAAGACAAACATCTGCACGTTCTGCATGATCAAAACTTGTTTCTAATTCATATTCAGGTAAATTTTCACCAAAATTAATAATTGAATCATGAAGGATTGAACCACATTTAGTACATTTTCGAGTTGTTGCATGATCATGAACTTTTTTAGCAGTACGTGTACGATAATCACGTAAATATTTTGTATGACATTTTTTACATGTTTCTAAATTTGAATTTCCATGTAATTCAGCTAACAATGTTGATGGTAAACCAGAACGTAAATGAAGACCATCAGTATTTTGTGAAACAACAAAATGAAGAAGATTACGACGAGCTAATTCAACAAGAGCCATATGTGTAACTGATGGAATAGCTTTTGTTGATGTTGTTGTACGAGCCGTTGGTGAGCGTTTTTTACCGGGATGATCACGAAGTTCCCATACACCAGGTCCTGTTGGTAATATTGTATTCATACTCGATCGAAAATCAGGAATACTAATTAAAACAAACGTACTCAATCTCTTTCAAATACTTGAAAAATCCACTTACCCAGTTGATGTCGATATACCGGCACCTATATCATATATATATTTAAATCGATTATAGAAAATTCTTATAATTAGCTAACCTGTAAATACAATAAAATGTTTAGCATTTCGAATCCAATCAGCTAATTGATCAAGTTTTTTATCAAGTATTTCTGGTGCATCAACATGTTCTTTTTTTGTAGGATCACTATCCGAAATTCCGTGTGCCATTTTTATTTCAACAAAATCTAAAACCATCCTTCGTATATATACATACAATAAAACATGAATCATCCATGATTCAAAATATCAATAAAGGAAACAGACATTTATGAGAAAAATGTGACACAAATTACGTATTGAAAAAGAAACAAGAAAAAACAAATTTTTTGTTTATTGAAAAACCAAGGAAACCAATGAGAGATAAAGAATGTATAGAATAATCTGTTGTTTGCTCTTCAACAAAAACGAATATGATAGAAAACAGTTACATGTAGAAAAGATAAGAATAATCAAAGAAAAACAATGTCTACACAACAGAAATGAAAAAAAAAAAGAAATCACAATTTGGTTAGCAATGTCATGAGTAACACAAGGAAAACAAACAACGAAATTTAGGAAATATTGCTAATGGACCAATAAAAAAGAATTTTCTGTACATGTCTTTTTGTAAAACAAGCGGACTTTTTCGTTCACATAGAATAAATAACATCAATAAATAAATGTGTCGGTGTATTGAAATGGAAAACAAGAAAAGAAAAACAAAAATTTTTAGTTAAAATAAATTAAATGCATAACAAAGGAAAACAAACAAATAAGAATGAAGTTCGTTTAATTGTCCATATTGTTATATGATGGATGTGCTGGTTCTATTTTAATAGTATTAGATGATAAATTACTGTTGTTATTTGTTATCATCGATGGTATTGATGATATGGAAGATGAAGCTGGTACAACAGCACTTGTTAATTGATGATTCATTGAATTAAATAAATCATCAAGCAATTGAAGTGCACGATGAATTTGAATTTCAATCCAACATGGAGTTTCTTTTATTGATTGTCTATCATGACAAGGAAAAAAGAGATAATTAATACATTTCAAAATAATAAAATCTTACCTTGGATAATCAGGTCCCCATCCTTTAACAAAACTAAGTCGTAACACACACAAACGTCGTAATTCATCAACACTTAAATTAGCCGATAGTGGCATTGCTTGACCATGAGTTTGTTGTTGCATTCGTGTATGTAAAGCCATTTTCACATGTTGATCCATTTGAGAAAAACATTGATGTATATCAAATACCTTAAAATTTAATTATGAATAAATGTAATTCAAAATCTTCTTTCTTTCTTTCATACACATACTTTAATACAAGCTTGAGGATAAATTTTATGAACAGCATCTCCTGGTGCACGACCAGCTTCACGATCAAGATAATATGATTGAAGAAAAACTGCTTGTTCACTATTACATCGTATCCATACATCACCTTCATTTCGACATTCAACACGTATGCCTTTTCCAATATATAGTCTAAATTACATTTTTTCATTATTAATCGAAATATTATTGAAAAATAAAGAGAAAAAAAGGAAATAACATACCGTGCTTTTTCACTCGCTTCTGTACGATGAACATTACTTAATGGACCCAAACAAAATCGATCACCAACGGTAGTCATATCCATTCCACCATCAACAGTCACTTCTTTATATGTATCTGGCACTTTAAATGTTTCACCAACTTGTATATCACGTTCATAATATGCTATACTACACCAATATTCACCAAAATTACTAATTAATGCTAATGGTTGAATAGATGGTGCACTCAAACCATTAGTAGGAATAAGAGGATGTTGTTGCCCTATAAATAATAATTCAAAATCATTTTACAGAAAAATAAACAATCGTAATCGAACACTTACATAAACTAGCTGCAGTTGATGATGGCTGTGCCCATAAAGAAACAGATACATCTGAATAAAACAAAAATAATTTAACTAAAAATTTCTAATAATTGTTTTACCTTGTGGAATCATTGCTGGTGGAAATCCATTTGTATTTGTAACAGTAGCTCCATTAGTAGTATATAGATGTGGAGGACTGGGACTAGTTGTATCGGGTGTTTGATGTTGAATAGCGCCTAGAGGTTGTGGAGAATTTTGATCATCTCTATAATCTACAAAGATCAAGTTTTTAGTTTGAGAAAAATTATTATGAACAATATTTTTTAATCACCTTTGATAAAACGATATCCATCTGGTGTTGAATACATATCACGATCATTTGATGATGATGGGTCACCATGACCAAGTAATTGAAAACGTGGTACAAGTGGCATTCCTGCTAAATCTTAAAATAAAATAAATTTCATTAGATTTTTACTTAGCAAAAAACTTAAATGATTAATTAGTTACCAATTCCAGGAGAAACAACTCGTTCATAATGATATGGATTTACTAAAAGAGAACAACTATATTATCAGAAAAAAAAAATTTATATTAACTTACCACAAACATATTCTTGTTTAAGATCAAATGCTAGTGGACAAGTTTTTAAATGTTTTAGTTCATTTTTATGTAAATCAGGCCAACGCCATATGCGAGCATAAATTACATGTGGAAAGCCTTTACGACCAGCCACCTAAATTTCAAAGAAGAATGTTTTTTTTTTGTCTTTTGTTCTATCGAAAAATAAAATGCACTCTATATGTCAAACCTGTAATCTTCCATCGAGAGTTCGTTGAATAGTAACACATTTAGTTGGTATTTGTCCACCAGATGTAATTGCTGTCACTAATGCATCAAGTTCATCTTTTTTATCTTTAAGTTTTTTTACCAAACTAAAGAAAAATATACATATTATTTCTTTCAATTGATTTCTTTCTCTTTTTTTTTTGTACCTTTCAATAGCTCGCTTCGAAAAGGTTTCACTTTCACCATTCGTTCGTTGTCGATGACATAAAAGATTAGCAACTATTCCATTACATGCATCTGATGATGGTCCACCACTATTTGATGATGAGGCGCCATTTGATGTTGGACTATGAGAATGAAGTGGAGGGGAACTTGACATCATTTTGGCTGATGATAACTATGCACCAGTTGATATGGATGAATCAAAAAGAAGGTCCACTTTATTACGAATGAATCGATAGAAAAAAAAAACTTAACTAAAGAATTAGACTTTCAATATACGAGTAAAGATGATTTTATAGGAATTCTTTTTTTCGTTTCCACATTAACAATTCAATCGATAGGTGGAGAAATAAATAGAGTAAACATAAATGGACACCATGTGACATGTGTTTGTACCTTCAATTAATCTTTGCATCATGATTATAGTGACCTCTTTCATGGAATATATTAAAGCTATCTTACTGGATATACAGATCTTATTTGTATAGATTATCTATTTTTTTTGGACTATTGAGAACAAACTGAGAAAGAAAAAAAAATTACTGAAAAAGAAAAAAACAATCTGTAAATAAACAGTCATCGGGCGTTGTGTTGACAACCGATTCACAATTAGTGTGAAGTGAACTCATATCTTTTATGTCCATATTTTCAGATCAAAATTCATTCATTTTTTCTTTCATCAAATGGCTCAAGCTGCATTATCACTCGGCGGAGAACGTATTACAGGTATAAACATTAAGTTTTTTAAAACAGAACCAAATACTCTGTTTCTTTTTACTTTGATTTCTAGGCGATTCAGTTCGTACTCAAAATGGTTAGTAAATTTAATAAAAATATTATAATAATATTTTTCTTGTTTAATTAAATAGTTCTAGCTGCTATGGCTATTGCGAACATTGTTCGAACATCATTAGGTCCACTTGGTCTTGATAAAATGCTTGTTGATGATATTGGAGTAAGTTTTTTTTTGGGCTTTAACATATCTATTGAAATAAAAATACGTCTAATTTAGGATGTCACTATTACAAATGATGGAGCAACAATTCTTAAATTACTCGAAGTTGAACATCCAGCTGCAAAAGTACTTGTTGAATTGGCTCAATTACAAGATCAAGAAGTTGGTGATGGTACAACTAGTGTGGTAAGTTTACATATTTTTCATATTATATTTTTAATAAAAACCAAACAACTTACTAAAGGTTATTATTGCTGCGGAATTATTAAAAAATGCTGATCAACTTGTTAAACAAAAAATTCATCCAACATCTGTTATTAGTGGTTATAAACTAGCTTGCAAGTAAGAATTTCTTTATATTTGTTTTTTTTTTTTTTTGTATTTACGAAAATCAATGTTTTTTAGATTAGCAGTGAAATATATTCACGATAAAATGATTATTAAGGTTGATGAATTAGGTAGTGAATGTTTAATTAATGTTGCTAAAACATCAATGGCTAGTAAAGTTATTGGAATGTATGTTGTTTTGTTTTGCTTATTCGTTAATAAAAGTTATTGCTTTTAGGGATGCCGATTTTTTTGCTAAGATGTGTGTTGATGCAGCCAATCTTGTTAAATTTAATGAAAAAGATAAAATAGTAGTACCAATAAAATCTATAAATGTATTAAAAGCTCATGGTCGATCAATACATGAAAGTATTTTAATATCTGGTTATGCATTAAATTGTACAGTTGCTTCACAATTAATGACAAAACGAATAACAAATGCTAAAATAGCATGTTTGGATTTTAGTCTACAAAAAGTACGTATGAAATTAGGTGTTCAAATTGTCGTTGAAGATCCTGAAAAACTTGAAGCTATTCGAAGAAGGTTTGAATGATACCTTTTTTTTTTTCAAATAGTTGTAAAAGACAAGATTAAATATTCTTTAGAGAAACTGATATTGCTAAAGAACGTGTTGCAAAATTACTTAATGCTGGAGCAAATGTTATATTGACAACAGGTGGTATTGATGATCTTTGTTTAAAACAATTTGTTGAAGCTGGAGCTATGGCTGTTAGACGTTGTAAAAAAGCCGATTTAAAACGTATTGCAAAAGCAACAGGGGGTAAATGAAACAAAATAAATTCATATTATTTATTATTTTTTTTTTAATTTTTTGTAGCAACATTATTAACTGCATTAGCTAATATGGAAGGTGAAGAATCAGTTGATGCATCAGTAATTGGTAGTGCTGATGAAGTTGTTCAAGAACGTATTTGTGATGATGAACTTATTCTTATTCGAGGACCAAAGGCACGTACAGCTGCATCAATTATAATACGTGGTGCAAATGATTTCATGTGTGATGAAATTGAACGTTCTGTACATGATGCATTATGTGTTGTTAAACGTGTACTTGAATCAAAACAAGTTGTACCAGGTGGTGGTTGTTGTGAAACAGCATTATCAATTTATTTAGAAAATTTTGCTACGACAGTTGTATGTATTTGATTTAATATTTTATTATAAAGAAATGTATCCTTTTTTTTTTCTATAGAATGCACGAGAACAATTGGCTATTGCTGAATTTGCATCAGCACTTTTATCGATTCCAAAAGCATTAAGTGTTAATGCTGCACAAGATGCAACAGAACTTGTAGCTAAACTTCGTGCTTATCATAATGCATCACAAATACAAAAGGATAAAGAACAACTTAAATGGTTTGGTTTAGATCTTCAAAGTGGAAAAGTTCGTGATTGCAAATCAAGTGGAGTATTTGAACCGGCTATATCAAAAATAAAATCATTAAAGTATGCAACTGAAGCAGCTATCACTATTTTACGTATTGATGATATGATTAAACTTGATAAAGAAGAAAAAAAAGGTGGACCTGGTGATGAATGCATGTAAACAATGATGATTCAAAAATAAGAATGAATAAAAACAAAAAAAAGAAAATGAACAAAATGTGTGATGTTTCTCTTTGCGTGTCATCTTGTTATCATTTATTGTTGAGTTTTTTTTATTTACTATTGTCATTGTTACCGACATTTTCTATTCCCTAGGAAGAAAAATCTATTCACACATATTCTTTTATATACTTAAGAAAAATCACAGACTTGAAGGGCATGACCATGAAGATTATGAATGATGACTAGTTTATATTTTTTTTTCATGGTTATAATGAATTCTACAAAAAGAAACACGATTAAAAATCAATGAATGTCAAATGTAGATTTGATTGAGGAATCGATATTGACTATGATTAGTGTTGCGGTTGTGAATAGTATTATGAAACTATAAATACATTTTCAAAGAAAATGAGATGTATGTATATTGAATGAGTATGATCAATTGACAATGGCGTTGATTCAACGTTATACGACTGAACTATCAGTTCGTGCTGCAACAAGTCGTCAAATTCATGATGATATACAATCAGTAGGGCAAGTTCTTAATGATGTAGCAGCTGTAAAACGACAAGATGAAGATGAAAAACGTTATTTTCATTCATTAAATAATCGTCTTGAAGATTTACTTCATGATTTAAATGGTCTTGAAATAGCAAATAAAAAATTACGTGATGATCTTAATTTATTAATAACAAATTGGGGTATTGGTGGAGAAAATCGTGTTCGATTTTTACAAGAACTTGATGAAATAATACAACGTTTAGGTGAACAAAATCGTCATAAAATAACTTTTCATGCTCAAGCAAAAATTTTTGATGAAGAAACACAAGTAATTGATCGTGTTACAGCTGTTTTTATTGATGTACTTAATTTATATCGAGACAAATCTCAAATACTTTTTGATTTAACAAATGAATTAGAAGAAGAATTACGTAAAATTCGTTTCCGTCTTGATATAAGTAATGCTCAAGTTAAATCTCATGATGATGATTATCAAAAAGAATTAGAAAAATTTCGTTCATATCTATCTGAATGGTCACAACTTGCACTAGATAAACAAAATTTATTAAATGAAATTCAATCACTTAAAGAATGTTATAATTTACGTTTAGCTTATAATCAAGAAGAAATCAATGAATGGCAACGTTTATTAAATCGTATATCACAAGAATCAAAAAATTATTATCGAGATTATTTAGATACAATTAAACAAAAAATACAAATTGATTATGAACAAATGGCCAAAGACCAACAGATGGATGTTGAAATACAATTAAAAACAAGATTAAAAGAAATTCAAGATAAAATTGATATGGGTTTACCTATTGATGAAAATGGTTAAACTAGTTTTTTCTTTTTTGTTATTTAGTATTTTATTTATTCTAGCTGAACGACGACGTCGTGAAGAAATTCAACGTTTTGAAAGTCGTCTTGATGAGAATACAAAAGAACATGATCGACTACAAAATGATTATCGAATTTTAGCTGAAGAAATTCAACATAAACGACGAATATTACAAGATCTTGAGAATGAATTAAGAAATAAAGCACGAAAACATGCTGAACAACATGCTCGTCTCGAACATGACACTGATTTAACACGTACAGAATACTATACGTTAAAAGATGAATTAGATAAATTAGCTTATACGCTTCGATTTAGCGTTGAAGAAGAATTAAAGGTTTATGAAGCATTATTAAATTCATTACATAGAAAAAAAGAAGAACATCCAGCTATTGATGATTCAAAATATCGTCAAGCAACAATAACAACGACAAAACGATATTTTGATACGATTAGTAGTGGAGGAGAATCAGCAGGATTTCCACGATCACAATCAGATATATCAGAAACAACACGAAAATTTATCCCACAAACAAATATTGATGATTCAACACAATATCGACCATCACCATCATCATTTTTAGCAGATACAACATCAACAACAAAAACAATAAAACGACAAAGTGATAATACAATTCCAGCTGTTCGAAAAGATGAAGTGAAATGCGAAGAAAAATAAAATTTTATTTTATTTATTTTTTTTAATTTATAGGTAGACAGACCAAGTAATAATTGGACTTATGAAACTGTTTCATCGGGTACTGCATCATCAATACGTAGTGAAAGTACTGATCGTGATCGATCAACTGAAAGAACAATTATTCCGACTCGAACAGATACTGATCGATATGGTGTACAACAAAGTTTACTTGATCAAAATCGTACTACAACAACAACAACACGAACAACACGACGTTTTGGTCATGGTTCTACTGGACAACAAGCAACAGGCATTAACATTAATCGAAGAGAACAAGAAGTAACTTCTACTATACCAGAAGTTGATGAAAAATTTTTGCAAAGTAGAGTTCATATTACACGAAAATATAAAGGTAGAACAAAAACGAATCTTTTTTTTTGCATAGTCTCTTTTTCCAAACTTTTCTGTAGGAAATATTCTTATTAAATTTGTTGATGTCAATGGTCGTTTTGTTGAAATCGAAAATACAGGTAATCAACCACGAGATTTAACTGGATGGTATATTGAACGAACTGTTGATGGACGTCGTATTGATTATAAATTTCCTGTTTATGAACTTGGTCCACAAACAACTGTTCGCATTTATGGAAATTATCATCGACCATCACCTTCAGGTGATGATGATCATCATTTACAACTTATTGCACCAAATTTTTATGATTGGGGCAATGGAAGAGAAATGCATACAGAATTATTTAATCCTGAAGATGTTGGTAAAGCATTATTTGAACAAACAATAAAAGATTAAAAATAACGTATTTTTTATAAACTGTATGTAGTAGTTTAGAGAAATACATTTATATAATAAAAAGAATAGCAAATATCTTATGTTTTTTTAAAACAATGATTTATATTTTGAGAATCATCAGCAGTTTTTTTCTAATTTGGTACTGCTGTTATCCAACCAAGACATGGACGAAGAGCACCTGTATTTTCATTTTGACTAATTCCTAAAAAGCCAGCAATTAATTTCATCTTAATCTCATGTCCATTATCATCCAAAACAAAATCTGTTTGAGTTACACTTTCACTCAGGTCACTAAATTCAATACCATTGATTAAACCCTTGAAATAAATAAAATAAAGTAATTATTTAATAATAAACACTATACATACTTGTGTATAATGATGATGATCACGTCGAGCTTTTTTATAATGACCTTTTCCATCTGAAATATATCTACAAAAATAAAAATGATGAATTCGAAAGTGATACTTATAATGCTATGAACTTACGGAACAAAATCAGCAAGCCATCCAGCTAACATGCTAATATCAGATCCACCTCCAACCGTATGACAGATTTTTTGCCACCAGTCAATATCTGGTTTTCCTTCAGCACTTGATTTTAATTGTTGCAAATGAGGTAAAAGTGCATCTAACCACCAATGAAAATCAAGAAAAATAGTTCGAAGTTGATTAACTCGATTAATAACTTGTTGAAAATCTTCTGGTGAACCACGTAATGTTACTTGTGGAAGACCACAGCATAAAGAAAATCGAAAATCATAGTAAGATTTAACACTATCCATTAATGTACAATCAAAAACAGCTTGTTCAACTGATGTTGTACTCGAAAAAGGAGATGTCAAAAGCGTAGCTACATCTGTTTTCATATCACTTCTAATCAAATTACCCATCTGTCGAACAGCTGCTGGCCAATCAATTGCAGGTATAGATTTATTTCCATTTTTTGGTCGAGCAGAGTCTGGTATTTGAAGACTATCTACTGAAAGAGTCAACGTTTTTTTTCCTTCATGTGATACCATTAATTCTCGATATTTTTCAGCATTTTCATTGAGATGAATACTGACACCTTGTGCAATAGCAACCCAAATATCTTCAACACTTAATTCAAGTGGATAATGTTCACAATACGCTTTGAATGCAGGTGCAACAAAAGCATTTTCAATTCGACGATTATTTCCATTAAGATCACCAGCTAATGAATGATTGGTTTGAAAATTTTCAATTGATAACTTCTGATCTTTTGCTGTCCATCGAGCCAAATCTGATTCAGTTATACCTTCAGACGGAGTATGTTTTTTGGTACATATATCGACTTTAGCTACAGCAAATGTAATAGTGGCCATTTATGTGTTTTCTTGTTACTAGAGAAAATAAAAAATGTTAATGACTTTAGCTGTTATATTTATCGGGAATAGAACTTGATGAATCATCTCATGAGTAACTCAAGCAGTTGCATGAATATTGGGCAATTTCACACGTGGTGTTGAATATGTAGTAATATTGAAGATAAGAAAAGAAAAAGGTGATAATAATGGGTAGAAAATCGAAAAAATATGGTTGGTTATCATCGGTTTGAATCAGAGATTGATCATACATAGCCAGTTTTATTTTTTCGATTTGCTTTTCTGCTTTTAGTTATTATCAAAAAAAAAAAACAACCTATGGAACGCTGCCATACAAATTTAAATACATGATGATATATAAAAGAAGAGAACAGTATAATAGATGTCGTGAAAAACTTTTTCTAACTGAATAATTTCTATTATAATCCTATGGATTGTTCGACGTCAATACGTCAAAAAACCAGTAGAGAATCTTTAGAATATTATCAACTATGTAACTAGGTCATCGATATTTCTTGAATTATCCTGTTTGCATGATAGTATCAAAAAGAAACAATATTGTCTATTTTTAAAAGAGATCAAAAGTTTCATTAAATGTACTACGAAACACTTCAATGATTAGAATACAATTCATAACATGAAAAGATATTTTGCTGAAAACCATTATTATTTTATATCATGCCAATTTCATATATCCGCACAGATTGTGATAGTAAAGATCATAATAGTTATTTAATTCATCATGAAGAATGTTGCTGAAAATTGATAAATGAAGAAAATAATATTGGGTTCGAATGAATCATAAGAAAAATCAATTACTTCGACATTTTTCGCTAAATATCATTCTTGTGATCAAAAAAGTATTGAAAAAAAAACAAATGGTGTAATTCTTAAATAATCACTTATATTCGTTCTTTTTTTGATAGTTAAAATAACTATTTGAGTTATCTTTCTTATTGGATTTTCATTAAAGGTTTTCTCCTAAAATGCTATTTCTTTTCTATAATCTACCCAATGACAAATCACTTGTAGAGGAAGTTAATAATTCTTAGTAATAAATGAAAATGTTACAATGCATCCCATCGTATTAGATAACATTATCAAATATGATTCATCTGTTTGACATTTCTCTCATTCTATTTAAATAAATATTAGTGTAAATTTGAAATTCAAGTCGATCATATTTAGTCGATTTCTATCTCAACATATGCATTGTTTGATATCACTGTTGAAGAGTGCTTGTGAAAAGAAAAAAAATCTGTCTTAGCTTTCTTTCGTTTTATGACCATGCGTTTCGCGTGGCATTTTACGATTAAGGCATGTGGAAAGAAAAAAAAAAGAGTTCAAAGAAAAAGACGAAGAAGAAAAAGAAAAAAAAAGCGTTCTAATTTCAACTCATCTAATGATTGAAGAACGAGCAAATATATTTAATTCATATTCCGTTTTTCGCTTTAATTTAGACGATTGATTTATTTAAACGAAAATCGTTGCCTTTTTCTTTTTTTTTTGTGTCATATATTTTCAATAAAAACAAATTTTTTTCTTTCTTCTACTTCTTCTGCTTGCGTTGTTTTGTATACAGGTAAAAGACGTGTTTGCATATGTGGTAAAAGAAGACGAAAAAAAGAACACATATACGCACACATACACATACTATTACATTCTTCTAGATGGCACACACATTTGACAATCGGAACTTCATTTCAGGTAAACAGCAAACATTTTATTCTGCTGTTTCACCATCATCATCATCATCATCATCATCATCAAGACCTGCCATAAGAAATACTCTTAAAGAGATATCATCTTCACGACAATCATCACCAAGGTCGAACGATCGTCTACTATCCTATGAAGAAAATCGCATTAATAAACCATTAGATAATCAACAAAATTCCAAATTATCATTTCATTCACCGTCAACATTAAATAATTCAACTTATCATGAAAGACAACAACCATTAAAAGGTAAAAAAATCCTATCTAGTTACATTTCTCTTTATCCTCAAATTTCAATAGAGAATGACTTATATATAACATATTTTTTAAATTTTTACTAATTTAGATAATTATTCTACATTTTCATCAGAAAATCATAGTTCTGATACAAAACCACCACCACCTAATCGTACACCACGTATAACATCAACAGTACATAATAATGATACTCATCATACAAATGTTTTATCTCAATACTCACCGAATGCAATGAAAACAAATACAACTTATTTAAATACAACTCAAGTTTATATAACTCAACCATCATTACGAGATAACTCATCAATTCCATCACCACCACCGCCACCACCACCACGTTGTCCTCTTCAACCTCCTGCTATCCCACCACGAAATTCACCAACATATAATCAAAAAAATTCCATCATTATTCCTGATTTTAATTCATCTAAATCAGCAAAAACAATTTATCGATCACCTATGATATCGTCAACTGTAAAAAGAAATGATCTTAATGATGATCATTTACTTGAACATCAGTTTAAACCATTTTCAATTGATAACAATCATCCTATTGAAGAAACAACAAATGGATCAGCTATCGGAGAATATTTCGGTAAGAAATTAAGCGTATCGTATCAATAAACTAATCTTCTATGTTGCATTGATCCATAAAGATAAAATAAAAATGTCTACTATTCTCTTTTTTTTTTTTGTTAGGTGAATGTTATAAATGTGGTGAGACAATAACAAGTTTAGATGATCCATGTGATATATTTGGTCAAATTTATCATAGTTCTTGTGCTATTTGTGCTTTATGTGGACGATCTGTAAGAAATAGACATTTTTTTGTTCAAGATCAATTATATTGCGAAGAAGATTTCTTGGTAAAAAGTTATTTGATATAAAACCAAAAAATAAATTATTTCATTTTAGTATACGGGTTTTTATGAAACACTTGAACATTGTGTTGCTTGTGGTCATCTAATTACTGATACAGTATGCTATATTTATTTAAATTTTTTAATGCTTTTTTTTTGGAGACAAATTAATCTTAGATTGCTCAAGCACTTGGACAATCATATCATCTAACATGTTTTAAGTGTTCAAAATGTTCAATTTGTTTGGATGGTATACCATTTGTGAAGGATGAAAAGCGAAATCTTTTTTGTTTACATGATTATTATATGTAAGAAATTTTTTATACTAATGAAGACAAGAAAAAATGATTTTTTTTTTAAAGAACTTATGGACCACGTTGTGATAAATGTTCAAATCCAATTTATCCTGAAGATGTGAGACAAAATTGGATATAGAATATGAGTGAATTACAATTTTTTAGTACGATTGAGATTTTAGCTGTATTTGTCTAATAACTTTTTTCTTGTTGATCGATTTTGGCAGTTCTTTTTATGTTACTCTACTCTGAGTGTCCCACATCCACACCAAATTTCAGCTTTCTAGTTCATACTGTCACTGAGTTATATGATATATTTAAACAAAAACGTGAGGCTTTGGTAACATATGCGAAGAAAAGAAATCTTATTGAGTATAGTAAAATAAGAGAAAAATGTGCAAATAGTTTAGTTTGAACAACATTCAACGCTCTATCAAAATATGTAATTAATTTAGATTTTATACTTTCCTTATTCTCTCGTCCAACGTCCATATTGTTTGACAGACACTTGTATATTTTTGTCTAGAGTTACACAAACTCAATTCTAGTTCTCTCTGTGATAGAGCTGACGACGTGCAGACCATGTGAGAGGAGAGAGAACAGTTGTAGTAACAAACTGGCAAGAAAATGTTCTCTTTTATCAGCTTTGTTTCACCGAAAGAATAGGAGAACTTTCGAAAAAAAAAAGTCATATACTCACTTCGTAGCGTTATATTTTCACAATTGTCTGCTTTATAAATTTCCATTAAGTCGTTCGATTTGACTCAATTTTTTTGTAATATGTATAAAACAAAACGTTCTATAAGTGGTGAAAATTTCAGGTATCGATCATTTACTGTTCACAAGAAATTTACATTACACTGAAAAATGTTGAGTTACGTTTTTTTCCGCAGATATTTCTAGTCGAATCAATCCAACAACATACTTTTCAGTTACAACTTGACTCAGCAGAATTCGAAGAGCAAATCTGAGTGTATTGAAAGATATTCCTGACTATTCATTTGCTATGCAAAGTTAGAAATCGATTCTAGCCTTTTTAATGGATAAAGTCACTTCTCATAATGAAATAAGCAGATATTGAACTGTACAGCATGTACTTCCCTTAATATACACTAGAGTGTTGGGAAATTTTTACCACGTAGCATAGACATAGAGTATAATAAAAGGCAATACATGAAAATTGCTTTAGTCTACTTCTATTTTTCCGAACCAGTCGTACCAAAAAGTTTCGATTCACTCATATTAATATATATATCTAGATTTATTTAATCGAACTTATTTAGGGTTCGAATGAAACTGTACGAATTATTTCGATGGGTAAAACTTTTCATGTTCAATGCTATCAATGTGAAGTAAATATATATATAACTTGAATTTCAACGATAAGAAAATCTATTTAGGATTGTTCGATGCAATTGGGCAATGAGCAAGATCGTCGTTGTTATCCATTAGATGATGTATTGCTTTGTCAAGGCTGTTGCCATCGGCGCCTTATTTCTCAGAATAAATTTTGATGATATATGATTTTTTTTTGTTGCCCATGTGTTTTATTTGTCAGATATGATCTCATAATTGACCAGATTATTTTTTTTTGTTTGTTTGTTTTTTTCTTTCGTTTTCGATTAACAGCTGCATCTAAATGGACTTATATATTTTCTATAGTCTTTATCCATGTCTCTTTGACTTGCTTATAGTTAGCAAATGGTTGTCTGTTGAAAATATTTCTTGTTACCACTTCTTTGCACTCATACAGATAGTCTCGTACTCACGAATAGATACAATTCATCTTGAATTTTATTTCAAAAGTATAGAAAATTGATAAACAAAATATAACAATTGTAGTTTTACGTGCGCATCGAAAGTCAGAAGAGAAACGCCAGTATAACTGCTTCAAAGTATTACTGTTGACTATAATAAAGAAAATTGTATATCTTTGCAAATCACAAATAAACCAGCAATACAGGATGAATAAGTCACTGTATTGAGATGATTCTGCAATATTCGCTTATATTTCTATTATCAATATAAAATACAAGCATAATTAAATTTCAGTATATACAAGTCAATAGATTGATTGAATAATTAATAATAAATTTAGTGAAATTAATTTTACTCATTCTACCTTTTTTCAGTATTCCTATTTTGAAATTTAACTAAGAATACTCTTTGATTACTGGTGAAAATAAAAACATTTCATTTAATCAACCTATGACAAACATATTCAATTTTTCTTTCAATAAAAGTATCTTTTTGATTTATTTGTTTTGGCTGTGATTTTGTTTTTCCTTTTTTTATTAGCTCATCAACAGAATGACTATTAATAGAAACCAGTCATCTATATAATTGTCGTCTTCGATATCCACATTCATATAAATATAAATAAATATATATATATATATGCGGGTGTATTCGTTCGCGCTTGTGGTGTTTTGACACACGTGACAGCCACCTATAGATTGCTTGCTTCTATACTTGCTTGTCATTATTTTCTCTTCTTTATGCTGAAGTAGAGAAAAAAGGAAAAAAATGACAAAAATCAACTTACTGTATATTAGTTACTGTTTATAGTGATTATATGACAGGCATGTGCATTTTATAAGGACATATTTCTATTTACATGAATAATATTTACTTCTAATTTTTTTTAAAAAATATTTCATCTAGTCATTTTTTTTTCTAATGAAATTTTTTTCCGAAATGGTATCTATCGAACGCTTCGTTTTGTTTTTCTTGGCAATATCATTTTCAGGATAGAAATATGTTCTCTAGATTTAGTGATTATTTTCGTCCGTCACGCTCTCATCGTCGTCAATTATCAATGTATAATAATGATTATCTACCATCCGACGAATCCGGCTATTATAGTTCAACTGGTAACAGAAATGATGCAATTCTTCGATTTATTATAATTCGTCATGGAGAACGTGTTGATAACACATTTGGTGTTGGTTGGACACGATATGCCTTCAATGCTGCTGGTCAATATTATACAGTTCATGAAAATATGCCACCAGCATTACCTTTTCGAGTAAATTGGTTAGATTATGAGTTAGATACACCATTGACTCTTAATGGTTTACAACAATCATGGAATGTCGGCAATGTTCTTGCTCGAGAAAATGTACCAATAGTTGCTTGTTATTCGTCACCTGCTTTCCGTTGTATTCAAACAGCTGATCAAATTCTTGCAGGGATGGGTAGAAAAAGTAAAGTAATGCTTTTTTTATTCATTCTATTAAAATCTATTTTAATTATGCAGTGGTTATTCCAATACAACTTGAACTTGGTCTATTTGAATGTTCATCTTGGTATGCTCAAACACCAATTAATTTCATGTCATTTCAAGAATTGATCAATGGTGGTTTCAATATTGACACATATTATCGTTCACATTTGAAGAGTCTTTCCGCATTAGAAGATGAATATGGCTATTATGAGCGCTCGGTAGAGACAATTAAAAAATTAATTAAATTGCATAGAAAAACAGGTGGTACAATTTTAATTGTTGCGCATGCACCTAGTCTTGAAGTACTCACACGTCAACTAACGAATGGAAAACCGAGACCTGAACAACTTATGGATCTTGCAGCTCAAGTTAATTATTGTAGTATGACTATTATTGATAGAGAGCCATATTCAAAATCATGGCAATTTCGGTACTCATTCGATGAACAAATCAATCGGCAACAACTTTTACAACAATATAATAATAACTTATAGCTTTCCGCAACAGTACACGGTTGGAAATAATATTATTCCAGGAGGGTAGTGCTATAATTTCAAATAGAGTAATTAATGAATTTTATACCAAACGAAAGCGCGTCAAAAATGGGGTTTATTAATACTAAACAGTAAGAGTCATCAAAACTTTTCAGTGTCGAACTTCATTAATTTTCAGAAATTTTATGCTTTTTTGGCGTAGAAAATTAAGGCACCACTAATTGAAAAATGAAATAAAACTTTTTTTCTTGAATATTTTTACATGGTTCAGTGGAGCTTGTCGAGCTCTACAAAACTGTATACATTAAAACAACTAAGACATGTTTCTGAGATAAAACGAACTCCAAAAACTACTAAGAAAATTTTTAAAAATGTTAAAAAACTTAGTTTTTTATATCGAAGAAAAACATTCGATTTTTCAATAAAAAATAGCTTTTTTCATCACATT